AAGGCATGTAAATGATTCCCGTATGGAACCCTTCCGTGGATCCCAACACCAAAAACTCCACCAAGTGGGGTGAGGAGTGGTTCTGCAGTAAGTCGTCGAAATAAGTCACATTAATTTAGGCCATGTAGGGTTTGGGAAACAATTTATTAGGACACATCATTTTGGCACGTGCCCTGAAACAAAGAGAACACACATGCAATAACCGCCACGAGCTAAATGCACAGGAACCTGCATTAAAGTTATTGCAGATCTGGGATTTACCAAGGAACACAATAGTACAGCCGAGCTTGTCCTTAATCACTCTCTCAGGTTTAGCTGAGGAAGTAGGAAAAAGAAAGGCTGCACCCAGCTCAGGGGTATTAGGACATGGGTTTGTGGTGTGTGAGGATGAAGAGTAAACACCACAAGCCGGGGACCTGAGGCCCGCAAAGTGCCTCCAAAATAGCTCTGTATCCAACTGGCTCCAGTCTGTCTGAAAATTGAACTGAGCCAGGACCGCAGCCTCCTTTGCGGAGAATGATCTATGGTAATCATAAAATGATGTACCACCATATTTATGCCCCAGGTCCACCAACTTGTGTAAATATAGGTCAAACTCCTCTCTGCGTTCAGGATAAACTGAGCACACCACGTCCCTATAAATCCCAAAAGCCAGGACGAACTCAGGGATAGACAACTTATCTGGCAGGTCCCTAGCCTTTAGTACAACCGAGACATCGCCGTAGGAATACGTCTTATTTTCCAGGATATCTTGGGAGGCAATCAGTAGCTAAACTAGATTGACATCCTTACCAAGATATCATTCTTAATATGTGCTGGTACCATATGAGCTGGGTTAATGATGCTAGAGTTTTGTAGTGGACCAATGAATTTACCAGTCAGGGTGCCTAAGAGATTAGTAGGTTCTGGAGTAGCCACTGGCCTATCATTAGCATCCAAATGGTCCAGCCTATGTGTAATGCGTGCCAATGAGGACAGGACTGATGACAGTATGGCCTGGAGGTCAGGTGACTGGGCACTACTGGGGCCATCGCCAGCCCCAGTATTATCCATGTTGGTGTTGAGAAATCTATATAACTCTGCCTTCCTGGCAGTGGCAGGGTAGGGAATATTCCTGTGTCTTAATTTGGCCGTGATCCTGGCTTTGGTCCAGGACCTGAGGGAAGACAGTCTGGCATTGTCCCCTCCCTGAGATGGAGAGATGGACCTTGCAGGAGTACTGGGAATGGACAGATCCTCAATAGCTTCTGGTAGTTCAGACATGCTAGAATAGGACAAAAGATTCATAAGTAGCCAAAGTGATAGCAATGTACTGGCTAGGTTATCTAATGCCAAGTGGCGAATAAATTATCTAAAAACGGGAGAGGGGAGCCCTCACTAGTTGCCAAGTGGCATGAGAGGCTCTAGCTATGTGTTGGTAGCTCTGGCTATGTGATTTTTGAGGCCACTTGTGGCGGGGTGGTGGCCTCTCGGTGACCAGTAAAGCATAAAGACAGCATGGGAGTGAAAGGGGGAGGCAATCTCTATACCACCATGTGAGGCTACTAACAATGTGTTGGCTGTTTGGGCGTGAGTACCTCAAAATATGTGGATGGGTGTTGGCCTCGCGGGACCACTAAGACTTGGCAAGAAGGCCAAAAAAATCAACTAAGTGGACCTATCAGCCAGTAGACCAAATTCTTACACTAGTAGGTAGTGCCGAGTGGGGAGGGGAAAAGTGCACCTACCACTGGGTACACCGACCTGTAGTTATCAGATGGATTGAGGAGGAAAGCGTAGATGAATTCGAGTAATACCTACGAAAATAAATAGCCATCATGTGGTACCCAACACTTGATCCAGGAATGGGCAGACACTCTGAGAGAAGGTAAGGTCTCCACGAGGAAAGGAAGCAAGATGGTGGTCTGCTGCAGCTGGAAATCCAGGTATGCAAATCGCCAGACCAACAATGGTAATGAGGAGGGGTCTGCTGG